ATTATAGCAACTACGAATGTAAAACAATCTGCTATGTCTTGCAGCTGAATGAAGTACCGTTCCTCAGTGGATCAAATGAGTGCGCTATCAGTCACCTCCATCTATAATAAACATGCTAAGATAGGCCTATGATGCAAAGCTATCACTTTGGAGGTGCACAACAGAAATGAAAAGACCCATCCCTGTAATCTTTACAGGAACCAGTCGAATTTGTTGCTTGCTCAGTTAAATGTATCAAGCCAAACACCAATAGAACATAATAAATGCTCTAAAACATAGAATGCATTCTGAAACGTATTGACTGTTTTGACATGATCTGTAATTTTAAACAACATCAACATACATTTTTTATACATAGCTAGCAAACAGGTTTAGCAATGCTGAAAGAACGACATGCATATTCTACAGGATAGATAGCAGTTAATAGCAATGGAGTAGTGCATGATTGTCTCCAAAAAGCCTGTATTAGATTATCCTAAAAATTAGAGCCCTTGCAATATTAGCTTTTGCTACCAATTCATTCATTCACTCAGAAAAAGCACTTGTAGCATAAAACATCACGTTCTTCCCCTAGTTAATTAAACTTAAGCTATGGTGCGAGTTAAAAATTAAGGCAGAGTCAACTAATTAAGTCTGGAAGATTTTTTTTTCGAAAAGGGGTGTTACCCCAGCCTCTGCATCAGAAAGATGCATACCAATTTGCTATTAATTTTGCTGTTAATTTTGCTGTTAACTTTCAGTCTGGAAGATATACTCATTTGCTATTAATTTTGCTGTTAACTTTCAGCTCTGATTTAGGGTTGAGAGTAGAAAACCTATAGCACACCAATTGATTGTTACACACTGAACTGTAAGATTCAAATACTTACTATAGGTAGCATCACACTTGACTAGCTGACTTCTAGTTTTATTACTCAGAAATAGGTGTACAATCTACACAGTTAGGAGAGTCTTGCACCCAAATATCGGCAGTGATTCACCCTAGAATGACTAGTTGACTTGGGTGCAAGGACAGAGTTCACCCATCATGTCAGACAGATTCAAAGTTGAGTTTCAGGTCTGATTCAACTCCACAGTTCGGAGTAGAAAATTTAATACCACATCCAATTGCTGTTTACATACACGGCATGCATGACAGTTCAGAGTTCAAATTGTTTACATTCAAGCAAGAGGAAGCATCACTATCTTAGCATGTCTTCAGCAAGAGGAAGCACAGAGCCCATCAATCCACCGGATGGAACTAGTTGGGCTCATTCAACTTGTTATTTTTCCCCTTGCATATTGCAATATGTAGGATATAACACGTACCTTGCAAAATTCAAAACGGGCTTCTCCGGGTAAAACCAACCGCTGGCATATCATGCATTTTTTCTGAAGCTTATCAATTAACAGAGCATTCCGAATCATGCAAGGCCCCAAGCGCCACACTTGGTCCATCACCTGGAAGAAGAATACGGAATCACCGCATCATCGAGTCACAATACGGAATCATCGGTCCATGAGTGCAAGCATGCTAGCACAAAACACTCTGCTTCCTCACTGGACTCTGCAACGACTTACGATGATGTTGATCAACTAACTTTCTCATAAACTTCAGGCCTATATAAAAACATGTCGCCTCAGAATCAATCTGTACTGAACTCGCAACTTTTGCTCAAGGCGTTGCAGGCCTCTAGGGTTCAGCTGAATAATAAACAGATCCAGCAGCTCATATGATCTGCAGTAAGTTCGGATACCTGAAAAAACAATGCATCATGTGTTTATCATGCAACAGTGCATCTTCTTGAACGAAAACACATACGGGTAGAGAGATTTTCACACCTAGGAAACTAGATCAAGGAAAACAAGAGGAGCAGTTCATACAGAACAGCAATTTGTCCAATGATGTTTTTAAGGGCCGAGAAGGCAATCATGGAGCCCAGGAATGACTATTTTATTAGCAGAGGGCGCGGACCACATCTAATTACTATATAAAACATATCCATACAGCCATCACTTTGCTTTGACTACCAAAGTTGTATGGTTGGCTGGTTTCTCTGAATAAAACACACCCTGGCGTATCATGCTTGTTACTAGCAGAGCCTTCAGAAGCATGCAGAGCCCGAGCCGCCATGCTCCGTCCATCTCCATCTCCATAGGAGAAAGCACCGCATCATACCATCTCAGCACATCTTCTCATGGACCATCGATCTACAACATTCAGTAAATCAGTCAGTCAATATATTTCATGTTTAAGTAGCGTAAAGCTTAGTTCAGGGACTAATCACGAGGCCGTGTTTTTCTTTCTCCAGAGAAGAGGAATTGCTCTCAGACAAATAATGAATATATCCTGTACCTCCTCTCTACCACATACGTATATCATAATTGCAGGTAAAAATCTCTCTTACAAACAATGCTACTGACTGGCTACACAGACAACGGCTTGGATCAGAAACTCAACACTACTACTACTACTACTAAATACATAGCTCCCTCTCTCTACTCTTCCGTTAAATGTGTAGGTGTAGCACGTCGATGTTTTCTTGAGGGGCCAACTCCTATTATTGCTCATGTCCAGGCAATTCCTCCCTCCCCTGTATGTACATGCCCAAGCTGTCAACACTAGTGGTCCTCACTGAACTCTGCAACCAGTTACCATGCTACTGATCAACTAACTTTTTAATAAGCTTCAGGCTTCTGTTCCAAGAGAACAAATACAATTGCAGATACTCTAGCCAAGGCCGGGTAAAGGGGTCTTGGGATCATGCAGGAGCAGGACATGTGAATTGCACATCCCCCAATCTCAAGAATAAATATATTAAATAGCATATTCTCCCAGACCCATAAGTCATAACAGGGAAAGATTGGCAAGGTCCCTGGCTCCCTCAGCCGAGCCGCGACACTTCCGCAGCACCAGTCTAAACCATTGTTGCATCATGAAGAGAGTTGACAACATCAGAAAAAAGAGGTGGACTAATAAACTTAACAGCTGACAAAAGAGGTAGATTAACAAACTTTATGGTTTGCTTGGCCATTGCAAAATGTTAATTTGTGCATCCTAGCATTTTAGTTACAGATCTAAATACCCACACGCAGTGGCGGAGCTTTGTGGAGAGCAACCTGCTGGGCCATTGCCCTCCCAACCCATGAGAAAGTTAGCAAGCATCCCCTAGTATTCAGCCCATATGTCGAGTTAAAATCAGCCTAAAAGCATGTTTCTTGCCCCTCCAGCCCATTTGCCCCTCCACAAATTCAGCCCAAGCTCCGCCACTGCCCACACGGGAACTATAAGATATATGAAAACAGTGAAAGAGGCATCTGCTAGCATTCAGAACAATCACTACTTATAAGGGGGGTGGTTTTATGATATTCGCTGGGCAGAACAAGTCAAGGTCAATGTATACTTGAGCTTCAATATCATCGTAGTTCAGAAAAACCTGAAGAAACATATAAACACTCCAGTGTATGATGCATCATATAGATTTACGGCATGGACTGTGACAAAATATTCTTTATCATTGCCAACAAAGCGACAAAATCTTAATGACACCTAGTAGGAAAAATCACTGTAAGACTTTTCAACAGGATTGTGTCTTCCTGAAAACAACAAATAGTTGGCAGTTGAACAATGGTGCATCTTTAAGGTCCGCCAACAAAATCAATTCTTACCTTGGAGAGCCTTTCCATAACCCTGCATTGACAAGTAAAATAAACAGAGCATTAACAACACGGCAAGATGACACGTAGCTAATAATTATGTACGATAGCTTTAAGTACGGCCAGCTTGAAATCTTAATTTGTTTCAGAAAAGGCAGACCATGACAAGTACAACTTATCTGCTTGACAATTACTACCTCTATAACTAAATGTAAGACGCTTTTGCGGTTCAATTTGAACTGCAAAAACGTCTCATATTTAGTTACAGAGGTAGAAGTTAAACTAATTCTAGCACGCTTTGGCAGTTACTTTGGAGGTTAAAGAAAGTACAGGAGTTCTTTGTGTTTTTAGATCAAACATGGTTCTAATGCTAGCACGCTTTGGCAGTTACTTTGGAGGTTAAAGAAAGTACAGGAGTTCTTTGTGTTTTTAGATCAAACACGGTTCAAATCCTTACTTTTCCCTTGCGAAAATCAAACAGACACAGATACCAAATTTTACTATTCGCCAATGAACTTCGATGATATCTTTCTCTAGATGAACACACCCAAGATGGTAGAAACTAATTTAAGTACAGATCATGTGGTCAGTTGGAAGTAATGTGCCCCCAAAAGTTAGCAGATTATGTGCAGCATTTCGAACAAACAAGAATACTAGGGGGGAGTATTTAAGAACCAGCAGTCTATGCAGATATGCAGACCGTGTATTCAGAGTAATGGATGTACATGATACCAATAGTTTGGTGCCTATATTCGCAATCACACCGACCAGAGCAATAAATTAAGCACTCAGTTTTAGACAAACTAAAGAAGAGGTAGCTCAGTTATAGAAGACAAAAAAATGCTAGTGAACCTGCTGGTGGTGCTTGGCACCAAGAACTACCCACAGGACCAAAACACAATAATGAACTAAAAACCTTAAGCTGCCATCCACAATAAACACATGATTTATGACCATGGTGCAGAGCATGAAAATCCACAATACACAAAATAAAAAATTAGTGCTTCTTTGTCTCAAGAACATTACTAGCAGAAAGTGCTTCTCCGTTGTCTTGGTAACATTACTGGCATAAAAAGGAACAGAGTCACGTAGGTTTACTTACTTAAACTTAAATGAAGCCAACCCTCCTCCATGTGAGAGTTCGATGTTTAGCAGATAACCTGTACAAGTGAGCCCTCCTCCATGGCCTGATCTCACACTTAGTTTCAATATGTGTGTCTAAAAACATAAAAGTTCATAACCAACCAGTATTCACGGAACAAATTATCAATTCCATCACACGTTAGCAACGACCAACCCAGCATCTAACAGTCATACAATAGCGGATAACCAGCACACAATTACATCATATGCCCATTCTTGGCTCATGTGAATCTGAAATTAGCCGGCAGTTCCCCTTTACAAGCCGCATCATAGTCTTCTTCAAGGTGTGGTGCAGCTTCCTTATGAGGACATATGAACTTCTCCTTGAATGCCTTTTCGGTCTCCGTGAAAACAGTGCTGTAGCTCGGGCTGCACTTGAGCAATCCATTCTCGTTGAGAAACTTTACAGCATAGTACCGGGGCCTGAGCCGGCCCTCTAGGCTGAGGCCAAGCATTACGGGTCGATGAGCAATGTACGCCGATTCCAAGCCCACCTCGGAGATGAGGAACTCAAACTTGCGTTGCAGCGATTCCTTGGACTTATTCAGCACCGTTGGATACTTAGAAACAGCCATGCCTACCTCAGCATCCGTCCATCTGAAGGTGTTCTTGAAGTACTTCACCTTGGTTGCGATCTTCTCCTCGCTGATAAATGCAACAGCATGCAGCGCATGCCTGAACATCCCAGAGGCACGGGGCACACCAATGTTTTCAGCGCATTCCACCATGGCTTGGACACGCTTCACGTTAGCGGTGAGAAGCCATGGTTGACTGATGCATAGCTTGGCAATATCACAAGCACCTAGCCTGCACTCCCGCAGCAACGCGGTGTTGGGCTTAACCACATCGTCGAGGTCAGCCGAGAGAAGGTAGAAGTTCTTCTTGAGGGCCCGGAGGAGATTCTCGGAGGACCCAAAGAGAGGCAGGTAGTACTCTATCTTGGAGACGATGGATCTACATCGGAATTTGACAGTGGGGAGTGAGACGAGGCGCGCGATCTCAGAACGCGAGAGGCCGAGGCCGATGAGCCCAGCGACGATGGGGGCCAGGGTTTTCTCCACTTTGGCGCAGAGGAGCCGCGGGTCCTTGGCGACCACGGCAGCGACATCGGCGCCGGAGAGGCCGAGGCCGGCGAGGAAGGCGCGGACGGCGTCGGGCTTGGAAGGGGACTTGAGGTGGGAGAGCTTGGCGGAGGCCTTGAGGGCCTGGGGTCGGGTGAGGCCGCAGGTGGCGACGAGGTACTCCTCGACGGCGAAGCTAGGGTTGGGGGAAACGGCGGGCGCGGCGGCGGAGAAGAGCCGGTGGAGAGGGGAGATGGTGGAGGCGGAGGGAGACGATAGGAGCTGGGCAAGGACGCTGTGGCGGAGCCGGAGCATGGCGCTGCGGCGGCGCGGCGGCCTCTCCGGCGAGGAAATGGGGAACGACGGCCTGGTGCGTCCGAGAGGGAGAGCGAGAGGATTTGCGTGGTCTGTTCTGGTTCGACCTTGATGCTGACAAGGTGGCCCCACGCGCCAGTATCTCTGATACTGGGCTGGGCTGGGCTGGGCTGGGCTGGGCGGACATACTGCAGTGAAGAATATTTGGTTCTCCTATGAAGACAACTGACTCGATTCTCAAAAAAAAAATGAAGACAACTGAATTTATTCTTTGTTTCTCTTTCAATGACAAAAAAACTGATGCACTTCCATCCGTCCGATCAAGATTTTCAGTGTTCTTTGCCCTGAGTTCGTCCTGATTGTGAATTTTACAAGAGCGCCTCTAGTACTTCTTGCCGCATTGTTTCAACAACTAGGTAGGTACTTATGATTCCTATTCACCTCTCAAGACCTGAAAGTATCATTATGTTGTGCTAGTTGCTCTTTCCCCGGGTATCTAGTTGGTCCCAATCCCTTCAAATCATTGAAAAAAATATGTTTAGCTCAATATCCAAAAAGAGAAGTTGGAGACATCTAGCTCACTTGAGGAAGTTTGTTCATTGACCTAGCTTTACAAAAAAAAATTGGCATATGTGCATTATCTATACAATCACATGATTCTTAAAAAAAATATACAACCACATTAGTTGTTTCCTATTTTGCCTAGCAGTCAAGGAATCATTATCGAGTACAATGGTCGGATTAACTTTGTTGCGCTAGCTGTTTTTCAGTGGAATTGAGCTCCACATGGACATGTCAGGCGGTCCAGGTGGATCTATTACCCCCTCAGAGCATGGTTAATAATACAATCAACAATCGGCTATAAAAGTTGTCATGTCATCTAAAGCCAACCTGAAAAATCTAAAGCCAATTTAATAGCCAACATGTATAATTGTAAATTTTGAATGTGTATTGTTTTATTAATAATTGGTCCACCTTACAACCTCACAAAGTGTCTTGTGATTCGGGTTGCAGCTGGCTACTAATCAAGAGCCCGCTTCTCTTCTCTCTCTTCCAACTAAGCAAAGATATACTCCTTCCGTCCGGAAATACTTGTAGGAGGAATAAATGTATCTAGACATATTATAGTTCTAGATACATTCATTTTTATCCACTTCTCTGACAACTATTTCCAAATAGAGGGAGTAGTATTTTTAGTCCTTATAGCCTACTTATGTCACCTTACTGTACTTGCTCTCAAAATGTTCCTCCCTCAGTCCCCATAATTTAAGACGTTTTTTTGACACTAAAGAGAATAACGTAAGAGTATTTCTCATTACTACTACCGGAAAAATCATGTAGCTAAATTGTTTTTTTTTTGCGAGTGTCATGTAGCTAAATTTGATAGGAGTATGTGTATCCAATGCAGATCCTATGCATTGCTTTTGTAACTACATGTAGCTAAATTCCTCGCAAAAAACTACATGTAGCTAAATTGATCTTTTTTGCGAGTGTCATGTAGCTAAATTGTTTTAAAAAGGCGCTATTCTATATAATAAGCATATAAGGACAAATCTTGTGCTAAATATAGTCAAGTGTATTTACATGTACTACCTCCGTCCGAAAATACTTGTCATCAAAATGGAGAAAAAGGGATGTATCTAGAACTAAAATACATCTAGATACATCCCCTTTTATTCATTTGGATGACAAGTATTTCCGGACGGAGGGAGTATCACTCTACTACTCTAGCTTTCGCATGGTAGCTAGCCATGAGTCTTCCACAAAATGGCCTACCATAGTTTCCTCTCCCAAGTCCCAACGCAGAACCATCATCTTGTCCTTCAAAACCCATTGTGTTAAAACAAATATCATTTTTTTAATTAGATTAATCCAGAAAAAGAACCATGGAAATCATGTTAGCACAATTGATCATCAAGAATAAACTAAAAACGCGAGCATTGTTCATGGTAGGAAGGTCTGTATGGCCACATGCAAAGAAGAGTTGAATGGTCATCTCATGAGTTTGAGCACCGCAAATGACAAGTATCCAAATTATGTGGCCATGCTCGGTTATATACGCATATTTCCATGGCACGACCAAGAAGAAGCACAAGGATTGGACCTGTGACAAGTGTCTTCATGGGGAGCAAAGAAGAAAGTCGTTGTAGTCTCCAAGGAAAACAACCTTGAGAATATCATTATAGTTTTGTTTGCGGCCAGCAAAAAAGCTGCCATTCTCAAGGTCATTTCCCTTGGCGATGAGGTTGAACTTTTTTGCTTTGACTCCGAGTTGCGACACCTGTCTCAGTTCCCTCCATGTGTGTCTTCTTGGTTGGCTTCATGTTCTCCCTAGCGTCGATGACACTAAGGATCCTGGCGATGAGGAAGAGGATTGTGACCAAGGAGCATCACCATGGTCAAACGGTTCTAGAGCTAGGTGAATGTAAGGTTTGTTTTCTTGGAGCTATATTCCATCGATATATGTAGGTATGTGGGAGCGAGAGCGAGCGAGCACGCTCCGGTGACGCATGCCACAAGAACCGGTTAGCCATACGACAGGAGTCGTCGACGAATGGTCGAAAGCCCTTGCCTAAACTTAGTTAATGAACCTCAGCCAGAAAGAAACGAAAAGCCTTGTAGACAGAATTGAATCATTGAGGGTTTATCTCGTACTGCACCAAGGGCTCATGCATGACTTCAAAAGGTATACTGCCAAGGTTCTGATAATAGCACAAAAAGGTCATAACCATCTATGTTCCCACACATCTATATATGGCGTTTTCATACTTCTTCAACAGTTCCAGCAGTCCAACCTTTCTTCCTGGGTTTTACTGAGGTCCATCCGGCATTTCCAAGACGATCTACTCATCGTCCAGCCGCTACAACGGCTGGAGCTGAAGACGACATGAGGATTTGTCGTTGGAGCACCCAATAAATCGCTCGTCGAGTTCCTGATCTGGAGGGCCAGATGCCTCTTGCCCTCTTCTATATTAGCGTGGGAGAAGTGGGAGAAGATGGATCTCAAGTGTGGGAGAAGCAAAAGGCTAGGGCTCAGATATCAAGTTCGAGCTCATTTGTGATGGTCATCTTGGTTGGCAGATCTACGGCGCCTGCAGTTGCGGAAGTTAAACCAACATATAATTTTGTTTCCATGCTGATAGAATGTGCAGATCAAACCAAATGAAATGTTTGTCATGCCTCACTAAATTAGCAGCTGGAAGCAAGCATGGAGAATATCCAGGGGCGTAGACCATGATCCAAAAACTGCAGGAAGCAAATAACATGACTACACGAAGATGAAGCATACACACAAGTATAGGTAAGACATCATTTCTAACGCAATACCCAAGAACCCAAATGGTTTGCTGACATCACACAAAAAGGATGCAATCCTGCAAATATATTTGGAGCAAATCAATGAAGACACCAGGAGAGATAAGCTCAGGAGAGCAATTGACAGGAAAGGTTCATGCCACAGATTAGAAGACTGCTAATATAGCATCAGAGGGCGATCTGTGACAGGAAAATGTAAATCACAATTCAACCAGGCCTACAACATATTTCGTCAATAGGACTCCTAAATTATTAATCTGTATTGTAAAATATTAAATTATTAATAGCTTAACTCCTAAATTTTTAAAGATCCAGAAATTTTGCAGGGAAGAAGCAACAAGATACAATTTCGTTGTCATCTCATAAGCTAACAAATTGTGAGGGGAAGTACTGGGTTATGAAGCACAGCCATGCCTCAATGAAAACACGAGTTCTGAAGCACACAAACCATGGAAGCAAAAGATAGCATGCACAAAAAACTGAAAAATATGCAGTATAGATTTAGCAATCTGCTCTCATGGCAGAAAATTTTATATAGTTGATAATTCATCACATCGAGTAATATATCCCATTTTTGGGAGCGTATGGACAAAAATATAGTATAATATCCAGCATTAGCATGTTCTTTCATAACGGTCAGTGGTACAACCTCGGCATAGTTCTGAACTCTGAAGATGTATGTTTTCAACACTAAAAAATAAATTCCATATAGTGGAAGCCAGTTTGCATTTGTTAATGCCTAAAGTAACTCTGGTTTGATAGAGCATAGACCAGAAATGTCAATGTAACACCTGAGATCAATCTAGGTAGAACGGATACCACACTAAACCAAGAGTACATACTCTAGCCATTTGCTGGGCATAAACAATGACATAACAATAATGTAGATTTATTCACTAAAGGAAATATTGAGGATTGCATTGCAAACTGCAATGGACATCGAGAACATAAGAGATACAGAGTGTGCAAATTTACTCATCAATGATACTTGAAGCATTTGCTGAATACTTTTTGTCGTATTAGCATTAATGACCAAC